GTAACCTCATGAAGTTGGGAGCACTGGGGAGGGATGCCAGGCTAACTACAGGAGGGTCTCATCCATTGTTCATGAAGCCCTTTCCTGTTTGGGCCTTTTCTCTACGAAAGAAGGAGTACAAGATAGAACCCTACTGTACTTCTTGCTCCACTTACAGCTCTGATCCGCTTTAAGCACTTTTTCAGCCACATGCGGATGGTCTGCTTGGCCACTTCCTCCTCGATGGTGTATTCCAGTTGCTCCCTGGCGAGGAGCTCCTCCAACTGCAAACTTTTCCGGATGTCCACTGACCGGTAGGAGAGCATGCTGGTAGGGAAAACACATCCAGCTTTAGTCTAACGCATCTGAGATTTAGACTCTTCAGTGTTTCAAAATTCAGAAAGGACATGTCTCAATCCAACAAGGGTGGTATTCCGTTGCCACCGATTACTAGCTCTGTAACCATGCGCAAGTTATATGACTTTTCTGTATCTCTTCAAGCCTCATCTGTAAGATGACCATCATGCTGCTGCTTACCATATAAATGATTGGTTTAGTTCTAAGGGACTTATGACAATCAGTGACATCAGTTTATATATTTAAATAAAAATCCCAATGAGGCTTTAATGTCCATAGTAAAGACTCGAGAACTTTCCCAGAAGAAGGAAGTATACTCATACACTTGCTACATGTAGTTCCAGCTGGGCTTATCAATATATTGACTATGGGTTATGCATGTCACTCACACCCTTTTCCACCCAATCTATCAAATATGTCCCCATGGGGCTGCTGCTGCTTTGCTAATTTCACATAGGTGCAAAATCGGAGTTGAACACACACTTGCATTTATTCTTTGGCTTCATGTACCACGAAGGTGGCAAAATGAAGCTAACACTGATGACCTATTCCATCAGAAGCCATGGCCAACAAGGCCACTTTCATTGTGTCCAGCCTGAGTAGTACTCCGCTCCTTGAGCAATCTCACATGGCTCAACCCCGGCCTTGGCCTGGCTGAGTTCACTTCCACTTCTGGAGCCTAGATGCCCACATGGAAAGATCGTGAGGGATCCTTCGTCATGTAGCTTCTTCCTCTCATGGAGGGAAAAATAGGTTTGCTCTTCTCTCCTCTCATACACCAAGATTCTTGACATTGCTTGCCTCTCTTTTGCTCTATTCTAGCGTAGAAGAAGAAGGAATGGGTGAACATTGTAACTGTTAATTCTGTCTGGGGTCCAATTTTATTAGGTGCACTATTGGATTGGACTACATTAAACACATTTCTTACATGTCTATTGTTTATTATTAATGACAACAATATGGATGCCTTCTTGAATTTCAACCTAACTTTTTCTTTTGTCTCTAGGAGAAAAGATCAATAACTTAAAAATCAGAGGAACATGACATGGCAGTTACTTAATCTGTCAACTGGCAAAGAGGTGGAGTCTAGTCTGTCAATCAGATCACAGCCAATGAGGCCTCTGTGTGGGCATGGCCTTCTCCTGAGGTTCTGGAAACTCTGGTATTCCTCCTTGGAGGCAGGAGTCACACTCTGCTTCATCTTACTGCTGACAAGTCACATGGTGCTACGCTGATGGCAGCCAGAGCCATGGAGCTGGAGGAGCCATGCAGAGACCCCTGACAGTGCTACAATG